AGCTGGCTTTCCTGCCCAAGGTGGGACTAGAACTCACGTCCTCCCAGTTTCTAGCCTGATGTCTTAACCACTAGACAAAACTCTCTCTTTTGAACGGTGTGGTTCAATGCATCCTTTTTCTGTTCTTTCATAAGTTTTGTTATTTTTAATAGTTTGATGATTTGTTATAATGAGTACCTCCTGAAGCAGAGCATAAAACTTTTCAAATGACCTGAGAAACAGATGTTCCTTCTTAATCTCAAATTTCCAAGCTACATCTCTGTGGTGGGCAGGACAGGTCTGCAAGGAGGTCTGGCCTTGTTCTGCAGATAAGACTTTGTCCAAAAGCAAAGTTTGGATTTTTGATTTCAGTGAAGGCAGAGTCCTTTTTACTTTCTTTGGGCAATGTCTGATAACTTGCAGTAATATTGATTGGTCGCCCAATAGCTTTAATTCTTTGTTGTTAGTTGCGAAGTCGTGTCCGACCCATCGCGACCCCATGGACAACGTTCCTCCAGGCCTTCCTGTCCTCTACCATCTTCTGGAGTCCATTGAAGCTCACGCCCACTGCTTCAGTGACTCCATCCAGCCACCTCATTCTCTGTCGTCCCCTTCTTCTCTTGCCCTCCATCTTTCCCAGCATCAGACTCTTCTCCAGTGAGTCCTTCCTTCTCATTAGGTGGCCAAAGGACTTGAGTTTCAACTTCAGGATCTGGCCTTTTAAAGAGCAGTCAGGGTTGATCTCCTCTAGGACTGAGCGGTTGGATCGCCTTGCAGTCCAGGGGACTCACAGGAGTCTTCTCCAGCACCAGAGTTCAAGGGTCTCAGTTCTTTTGGCGCTCATCCTTTCTTATGGTCCAACTTTCACAGCCATACATTGCAACTGGGAAAACCATGGCCCTGACTATACGTACTTTTGTTGGCAGGGTGATGTCTCTGCATGATTTTAATCTGTCAAATGTAATTACATCTGTAATCCAAAACGTGGAAAATTTATGGCAACTTCAACTGCAACCCCTAACATCCCTAACCATTGTCCATTTTCGGCTGCTTGGCTATTGTAATTTGAACAAGGTACTAGTTTCCTTAAGAAATGAGCCAGTTTTTTGATCAGCCTTTTTGTTCTACAGGAACATGGAAGAATTCGGTAGAAGAATGGACGGCCGAAGACTGGAACGAAGACGTAAGTCTAGCTTTTGTTAGTTTTGTTCTTAAGCAGTTCTCTTTGAAAAGAGTGTGGCAGAATACATTGCCTGTCTTTTAAACACTTTCAACTTCTTGAACGTTATTTGGCTAACTTTAATCCTGGGGTATTGTTCAAATATATTTTTTCCCGAGAACTTACGCAGAGGCTAGAGAGATCTCCTACAACTTACGCTGTCACGGCTTTCTGAAAATCTGCACTTTTTACATGCTTGTATGGAAAAGACGGCTATGGGTCGTCCTCGATAGTTCATTTAGTGACTGTTCAAAGTTACAACAGCACTGAAAAAAGTGGCTTATGAACATTTTTCACACTTCACAACCGTTGCAAACATTCCCAGGGTCACACGATCAAAATTTGGACGCTTGGCAACTGGTTCATATTTATGACAGAGCATCTCTTCAACACCTTCATCAACGATTTGGATGAGGGGATAGACGGGGAACTCATCAAATTTGCAGACGACACCAAGCTGGCAGGAATAGCCAACACTCCAGAAGACAGGCTTAGGATACAGGAGGATCTGGACAGACTTGAATATTGGGTGCTATCTAACAAAATGAAATTTAGTGGTGAAAAAAGCAAGGTTCTACATTTAGGCAAGAAAAATCAAACACACGGGTACAGTATAGGTGCTACCTTGCTCAGTAGTAGTAACTGTGAGAGGGATCTCGGAGTCCTAGTGGACAGTCACTTAAGTTTGAGCCAGCAGTGTGCTGCAACTGCCAAAAAAGCTAACACAGTGCTAGGCTGCATTAACAGAAGGATAGAATCAAGATTACGTGAAGAGTTAATACCACTTTACAAGGCCTTGGTAAGGCCACATTGGAATACTGCATCCAGTTTTGGTCATCAGGATATAAAAAAGATGTTGAGACTCTAGAAAGAGTGCAGAGAAGAGCAACAAAGATGATTAGGGGACTGGAGGCTAAAACAAATAGAACGGTTGCTGAAGTTGGATATGTCTAGTTTAATGAAGAGAAGGACGAGGGGGGACATGATAGCAGTGTTCCAATATCTCAGGGGCTGCCACAAAGAAGAGGGAGTCAAGCTATTCTCCAAGGCGCCTGAAGGCAGGACAAGAAGCAACGGATGGAAACTAACCAAAGAGAGAAGCAACCTAGAACTAAGGAGAAACTTCCTGACAGTTAGAACAATTAACCAGTGGAACAACCTGCCTCCAAAAGCGGTGAATGCTCCAACACTGGAAGTTTTTAAGAAGAAACTGGACAGCCATTTGTCTGAAATGGTATAGGGTTTCCTGCCCGAGCAGGGGGTTGGACTAGATGACCTCCAAGGCCCCTTCCAATTCTTGTTGTTGTTGTTATTGTTGTTGTCTATATGGCCACATGATTTACATTCAGATGCTTAACAACTGACTCATATTTATGACGGCTGCAGCGTCCCGGGGTCCTGTGATCCCCTTTTGCGACAAGCAAAGTTAATGAGGAAGCCAGGTTCACTTAACAACCGTGTGAACTCACTTAACAACTGCAGTGATTCGCTTAACAACGCTGGCAAGACAAATGGTAAAATGGGCCAAAAGCCACTTAACAACTGTCTAGCTTAGTAACGGAAATTTGTTTGCTCAATTTGTGCTACTGCCCTGTGTTCCTTGTGCAGAAAGTGTCTGAAAGTGCCATGGGTTTGCATTGGTCTAACTGGGAAGCTTCTAATCGCTTCGTCAGATAACCAAAAATAACAAGCAATGCATTTAAGGGATGGTTGTCCATGGTTTGTCTTCAGAACCAGCTGGAGCTGAGTTTGCTTCTCAAGAGTGGAACAACTTAACCAGCTGCTTGGTTTCAAGGAATTGTCAGTTTCCAGGAAGGAATTCTCGATGTGGTTTCTTTTTTTTTTTTGTTGTGCCTCATTTAGATTCTGGCCAGCATCTCACAAGCAGATTAAGTTGCTTCTCAGAAATCTTGCAGGCTTCTGTGTAAGCAAAAACCTTTCAGCTGTT